CGAAGAAAGCAGGACATCACTCTCCGCGGCACTCGTTGACTACTCGAACGACGGTCGATCCGAAAAATTCGATCGAGAACAAATCCTCGACGTTAGTCACCGCTTCCTTTGCGATGATTTATTAGATACAGCAATAAATAAAACCCTTCATTCCCTTTCGAGTTTACAATGAGAATCATCCACGGTACTGGCTGGACACAAGCTCTGTCGGAGAATCTCGAGCGACGCGAGCTGCCTACAGAAATCCAGTGAGTTACGATCGGAGTCCATTTTTCGTATTTTCACCCCCTCCTCCAACCAGGCTTCGATCGCGACCAGGTCCGGCGTCGAGTTTGAGCCCAAGCGCTCCATGATCCTCTTCATTTCCTGACTGCTCACTGTCATGTAATCGAGTTGCTTTGATTTACTTTCCGATATTTGATCCAGTTCGGTGTTCTCGGGGGAAGACCACGTAGCCAGCGTGTCGAACACGTTCTGCTCGTTCTCCAAGGGTCTGGCACCGTCCGCTATTGCGATGTCCTCGTCCATATGAGTCAAGTTCAGGAGCGCTTCGAGCTTTACGAGTTTTGGTAGACCGTTCTCGGTGTGTGCCATGTCCACATCGAGGTAGAGTTTCAGGAACGATCCGTACGTTTCCCTGATTATCGCAGCCTCTTCATCCGGGCTCCTCTTGTCCCAAACGCTGATCAAGATGAGTTTCGCGAGTTTCAACTCCGCTCCAACACGATTCCTTTCACTGTAGATGGCCATCGCCAGCAACGAGAGGACCACCGCGCTTCCGATCGCCACCAGGACGATGGCTGTCCTTTTCCGATTCCCGATCGCTTTCAGGCAGCATCCTTGCTGGGAATTGCTCAAACTTTGCTTCTGGGCTGTACTCAATGGACTGTCGTCGGCGAAACCACTCGAACTGAAACTCCGCATATCCTGCGCCGCCATCGGCTTTCTCTCCAAACGCGCTTAGCAGACGCCTCAAGCTCACTGGTAAAGCTTGGAAGAACTCTTCACGTCTAAGGGACCTATGCTCTGCCTGGACGACCGATTGCTGCCGTTCGCGGCAGCAATCATCAAGTGGCGGCCGTAACTGCTACGACGGACCGACCGAGCGACTCTGGGAAGGCTCTACCGTCGGCCGGAAGAAGCCACTGCCGTCACTGTTGACGCGGATTACGTTGCTCGAGAAGCACCACTGCAGCTTGGAAGAAACTCTGGAGAGCATTGGCGACGCACTGCCTCTCCGTCTAGCCACCCGTTCCGCTGCCTCGAGCCTTGCCCACTAGTCGGCTAGCCGTCCGCGGTAAACAAAAACGTTGTCGAAGGGTTGTCGGCCGCGCTCGTCGCTCGCCGACCTTTTCCCGTAAATTGACGTACCCTCACCTTAAGCGATAAGACTCGAATGCACCGAAAGCCCGTGAACTGGAGACTCATTCATTTTTCGCAGCGCGATCTCTGACTTGTGACGGAAGTTGGAAGCTGGAGTGCCCCGGTGCGGGCGTGAACACGTCTGGACATGTCATCGCACTTTGCTCTCATATCCGGATGAATCATCGCCGCAAACTAAGACGGCCCTCAACAGAACTCAAAAAGAGCTGATTTCGACGATACGTTACGCCTCGTCGTGATTTGCATTTAACGAAGAGAGGGGGTCTCTAGAGTGTACATAAATATCTGTATTTTCTATCGCGGATAACAAATAAACAAACGAAATTCCTATGCAATATCCACCATTTAGCTTAGGGAAGACAATTTTGGAGGGATGTCTCATAATTTGGGGCGTTTATCAATCGAGGCGTAGAGTACTTCCAGGATTTGGGACAGCGAAATTTTGGTGAAGATATCTCTCTGAGTTTTCGGGCCTTTACCGTGACTGATTATGACACTCTGAGCTTTGACTTCGAGCACGAGATGAGCCCCGAAAAAAGGTCGCACCGGTGGGTCCTCCGGTTTCAACGCCATCATGATGCCTCGGACGTGCACATCCGAAACTCCGTAGATCGATAACACACTTCCTGCAGTTCCGTTTCGGACAGATTCCAGCTCACTGAGCACTCTCTCTATCACGGGTTTGCAGGCACTCCGCATGCACAGGTCGGTGACTCCGGCCAAGACGCTTTCCTCCACGAGCGGTTTGTTCTCCGTAAGGCAGTCATTTGCATAGGTCAGGTTGAAAGGCAACTCTCCGCCTTGTGATCGGGCGGTATCGATGCTGTCCGCTAACAGGAACCTCTCGAGGTTCGTCAAACCCCCCGATGGATCTATGTTGGGCTGGAGAACGGCGGTGGCGATTTTCTCCACACACGGTGGAAGATTCAGCTTGAAACCGCCAATCAGATCCAGTCCCGCTGTCGAAACACCTGTCTTTCCATCCGGATCTTCTAAGAGTTTGGGAAGAGGATTCGTCTTGGATTTTTGGGAGCTTATCCCTCGGGCGATGCTCAAAGCCGACTCTCGACATCTGGCTTCCAATGTGTAAGACACGTCGTTCTGCGTCGCAATTTGCAGGAAACTCGCGTATTCTTCCTGCAGCCGAACTCCGAGCTCCTCCATGGATGCCCGACCATAAGTGGTCAACTCTGCCTGCTCGAAGCTCTCTGCTGCCGGAATTGCCGTCACGGGCTCGCGCTCACCGTGTCTGGCGATGATTATCAAACGGACCGTCGGTTCACTTCCGAAAAATCCATCTTCCACGACAAGACCAACTCCCACCAGAAGTAAAAGGAATAAAACAACGAAAGCCAAGAGTCCTGGAGGATATCTGACTTTCAAATTCAGAGAAACCATCCTCTATGCACAGTGACCGTTCCTCATGTGACTGCAGCAGGCTGCTTAGTAGCAATCATTTGCTGCCTGTTATAAACCTTGGAAGCGAGATGTCGAGGGCTGGTTATTCTGTGAGGAGGCATCCACTCCGCTCGGCGCCAATTTCGCTTCCGAGACCGATTCCAGGCCGCCGGCCCTGACAGGATTCTTTTCTATTTTTGTGAGATCTATTTCTTGAGGTTACCCGACATATCCACGAGAATATCCACGACACCTCGATGTGTATCAGCAGTCTTGCAATAGAATCGAAGCTTGCGAGGGTGGAAAGCATCGCTCTCTTCTCGAGATATCCGCTCGAAACGATGATCTCATGCCGTCTTGTCCATCTAATCCATTTCCGGAACATCGTTTCGTCGGGCATCCATGGCCGGTTGCCCTGAAACGAGGGCCCCTCAATCCCGCCGGTTGATGCTGATCCTCGGAAAGTCTCGAAGTCCCAGGGGGAACTGACAGCGGGAAGTCGACACCGACTGCCCACATCAGGATACGGACTCACCGCGCAACAAGCCACGGGAACTGAACAGAATTATTCAGCGTACGTGGCGAACTCGTAGGGGGAGATCATACGTCCAGACTTGGGGACCGCCCTCGCAGGAGCGGGCCTGCTTCGTGATTACGCTTGATTAGGTCAAACGTTCTCTGAAACGTGATAAATGGGGGTAGCGGGATTTTTCCTTGTCGTCTTATTCCGAGAACATTCATTTTGTTGATATCTATCGACTTGAAAAAAAATGAAGGCTACGCTTGCGTACCGCTCATTATCATTATCCTCATGAAAGAAAAGATTGAGGGATACGTTATAGGCGGCCTTCTCCGCGCGATATAAAAGCAGGTTCGGCGATAGTCACCAATGTCCTCGTTTCTAGCATTCTAGAAACGACGTTCCCTCGGAGCTCTAAACCACCGGTGGCCAAAAGAGGTTGCATGGACCCCTGGGGCTCCACGGCAGAATTTCCGGGGGTCCACAGCAAAATTTCCGGGGGTCCACAGCAAAATTTCCGGGGGTCCACGGCGAGATTTCGGAAGAGACGCGATCAAAGTGAGCCTTCACGACGGGAAGAAGGGTTGTTGGTCACATACGCATTCGGTCAGTGACTCCACCCAGCACATTCCGGAGAGAGATCTCGAAAGCACAGCATGTTTATGCACAAAGTCTCAAACGCCGATTTGGCCCGGCTGCTGATCGTACTCGAATCCCTACAGCCCGGTATCTGTTCGCGAACGCATTGAATTTCTGCGCTTCAGGAAGAGCTCCGACTGCCTTGATCTCAAAATGTGCTCGAATTCTCCTGATTGACTCTCCCTCGTTCTACCCTTCATTCGGAGAACTTTACACATGAAGTGAATGGACAGGAGCAATATGGGGAATAGAGGGTCCACCGGCTCCTACGAAGGCGCTTTGGGGGTCCACCTTCTTTCCCGAGTTGGCCACCGCTGCACCAAGCCGACGTTTCTCAAATGATCCGGTACGGTCGTGATAGTTCACCGAATCTGGCTTGAGATACGCTGTTCGCTCGAGATACGATAGCGTTGTTTCGATTCGTAGCGCGTAGTCGACATCAGGGTCATGGGGGAGATGCAAGATGAAATCGATGTCGCGATCGTCTCTAAGATTCCAGGTTTTTGAACTTTCGAAGCTCGATCGTAGATCGAGAATGATTCGTCCGGTAATGATCGACTTCCTCCGGTCCACCCACAGTGGACGCGCACATGAGCGCGAATGAATTGGATCGCTGCTGCTTTCAGCTTGAACCGAAGTGGCAGGAGAGTTTGCATCTTGCTGACGATGGAATCGATCATCCTGTCCGATTGGTCATCGTACGTATTCGATTTCGTCTCGCATGCGCAAAACTCGCATCACGCCATCTGGCGGGACGCGCGCAGAACACTGGGCACATTATTTTGGAATGTCTGTTTATTACTCGGATGTCCGGTCGACATGCGGCTCTACCGAGGTTGTGTAATTTGTGCGATTCTCGTGCCGTTTGCGGCGACTGCCATTATTCAGATCGAGCCCGATACCGCCACTATTCTCGTGAATGACGACGACGGTGAGCTCAGAATCTCTGTGGCGCGGTTATCTTGCTCCCGCTCGAATGATCGTGGAAAGGAATTTTTCAGCTCCGGATTCTCCTCCGCAGATTTCCCTAGACGGTGCCGCTCGGACGCCGATTGCGTTCTGAAACACCGACAAGTCTGCAACCAGACCTCCCGCCTGTGCACCTGTCCGAGATTCGCATTCAAGGCGTTCGGACGAGGTGAATGCAGAAGTGAGTTTCCCCGCTAGATTCATCACATTCGCGCGGGTCCTCTAGGAGTGTCTGACCCCCTCGGTTCTACAGTGCAGTCAACGATCTTTCTGTACATCGAGCTTAACTAGATGCGTTCCGCATTAGATCAAGTTATAGTCGATGTTGACGTCGCGAGTACTTCGATGATGCCCCCGAATTTCGAAAAGTTCCGGAAAGAGTAAGTTATGCCTCCAACCGATTAGGTCTCTTCTTTCTCTCCCCCCCTCCGATCGACAGTTCCTGCTGTGGAGTCGCCTACGCAGAATGCTGATCTACGCCAAGTCTTTTTTTCTCTCTTCAGAGTGAGACTCTTCGTGAACATTTCCCCGCACCATGTCCTTCTGGATCCGCTCCGGATTCGAATCTTTGTCGATGCCAAACTCTTCGAGGAGTCTTGGAATTCGTCCGGATTGGAATACGTCCTCGGTACGCGTCTTAAATCTCTGGAAAAAAGGATTTTGTCTCATGTCAGGCTCAGATGAACTCCCCGAATATCGAGCTCCGCGAGCACCTCCGTTCGATTCCAAGTCGCGAAAGCTTCCGCGACGAGTCCGATGTCCGATGTTGCCAGAAACTTCATACTTCCCTATCCATTTCCATTTAGGTAAGGCGGCCGGAAACGCAGCGGCAACTCGAGCCACGGTCCTCACCAGAGTTTGCAAGTATGAGGATAGTAACCCATGTCCAGAGAATTCACTTTGTCTGGTGCGAAGAGACAGGTGAGTTTTCCCCCCCCCCTTCCCTCTTCTCCCTGCCTCTTGGTCGTCGGCAAGATCGATCCCACAAAGCTATGGGTGAAACTTCTCCTTCAAATATGCAGCGTTCTAACATGATCGAATATCCGGTCGATGAGCAGCATTCCGCTACAGTCCCTGTCGCTGATTATTCCCCATACGATTACCTGACGTTCCAGGTACGATTTCTCATGCATTTGTAAATTCGGATTCTCCAATTCTTCGAACCATCTCGGACTGGTCTGCAGCAGTGAGTCCACTTCGTACGGTCGTTTCACCGGTCTGTCGTACCGAGTCACTCAGAGCAATAATAATTGTTGGAGTCGCCGCCGTCATCCTAGTTGTTGAGGAGACTGGGCCCGCTGTCAGCGCAATCCAGTAAAGCTTGTAATGCACGTTATCCGTGCAGTATAATTTGATAGCGAGTTTTTGCATGCGAGCATGAGTGGGGACATCTGCTGGGCTCATTCATCTTCCGACAGCTGTGCGCCTAGCTTGCTTTCTCCAATATCGTGCGAGCTCATACGTTGCCTCCCGCCGTCGCTCGGCCTCTAAACGGCTCGACTCGGGGCTGTTTGTTGTGAGCGCGGCGAAAGTCGGCGGCCGCGGCGAGTGAGAGCGCAGAAGAGTAATTAGGGGCCTGACTTTTTCTGCCGGTTTTTCGTAGGGCGACGCCTGTGCCTCGACGAGGGAACCGACTCCCCAGCGACGTCTGGCTGCGAGTGCCCCGCTTACTTCGCCGGAGAATATTGCCAGATCAACGTTTCTCGTGAGTTCGCATCAACGAATGATCTGTCTACGGAGAGAGGCTCGGAGCTTCTCCTCTCGAATCTGCTTATGAATTTCCGGAGCTTGGCGATGATGCTCTGCGGAAACTCGGAGCCGACACGAGTCACGAGGCTGTTTCCCCCGGTTCCCAGGTCTGGCTCTCACGACGCTCATGCTGGGCATCATGGTGCTGATGATCCTTAGGAACTTACGTGACTGTCTGAGCAACTTCAAACGACAGCCTCGGCAAGCTACGAAGGTTGAGGCTATCATCGATGAAATCGTTGAAGATGGCCAGATAAAGAGGAAGACAACGTATTCGCATATCCACAAGAGGTCTGTGATCGTCTGATGGGATATGGGTGTTAGTCTTCGCACGAGACTACAGGGTCACCCGAAATTGAGGTGCAAGACTCTTCGCTGGAGATCCCCGCGAGGACGTGACCAGGATGTATGGCTTTACTTTAATTTCACTTCCGATCCCGTGAGGAGCCGGTATCACCTAGTCAATAAAATCCTCATGTCGTGGCGGGTGCTACGGCAGATGAGATTGAGCACCCCTAGAAAACAAGAATGTTCAGCTCACAGGATGACCCAGCAGATATCCCTGAACCTGGTGGGGTTTCGGGAGTCCGCAAAGAACTTCGTACGCGCTGCTCGAGGCGTCCGTCCGGCTCTGGTCTATTCCACCGAAATTCCTGGCTCTCTTATCACTCTTTGGAGTCGCCTTCGCGGGCTTTTTCTCTTTTTTTGCGCTCGAATGCTCACTTCTCGTCAATGACCGTGTTTTCCCTCAGATAAGGCTGCTCTTCCGCCAGCAGCTGTAAGGATCTTGGTCGATCCAAATTTTATACGAACTAATCCAATTTGTACATTCCCCGACGACGCATCGTCTACACCGGTCTGAACGATTGGAGAGTAGGGCAGAAGCCGCTAAATCGCAGGACGAGGCTTTCAGCGGGAGGGGCTTAGAGGAGTATCTACCGTGCTCGTACGTACAGAAAATCCAAAGCGAGACAGCGTTCGTCGCTCGTGCTCCATGAAGCGGCTCTGATTCGCAGAGGTTGTCTGCCGGAGCTCCTTGTTTTTCCCTCACGTTTCCAGAACCGCGAGTTCTCCAGTCGGATCCATGGGGCGTGAATTCAGTCGACGGCTCGCGGTTCGGGCAAGCGAAACGGTTTCGTTGCTTCCTCGGTCGCCTGCCTGAGACAACTTGGACTCCATTTGCACTGTTTTTACATCGACGACGACCTCGGGCCCTCTGTATCGGAGGGAGACGTAGCTCTCAAGCGCTACTTCCTGCCTGCCTGCCTCTCTCTGATTGTCTATTAGGAGGAGAATATATGGCGTGCAGCTCTCACTCTCCTCGCTCGAAGTCTCGCTTTACCCCGGACCGAGTTCGTGACGCAACGAAGCATCGCACATTAACGCGGTCCGTTTGCAGCATCGGAATCATCACGATGAACACAGACATCTTCACACAGGCCGTGCTTTCTGCGCTTCCCGAAATTTGCATGCAGAGACGATTAAGCAGAGGGAACGATCGCGAGCAAGAGGGAATATATTGGCAACCTCGCTCATCTGTTCACTCACTTCTTCTCCTCGACGGGAATAATCTCAAACGTCTTGAGTGCTCTCCGGGGAGAAGAGGGGGGGGGCGTCGAGAAATCCACCGTATTTCACACTTAAACGACCCTCGTCAGATTTCCGCTTATTTGCTCGCGTGCCGGTCCGCTCAGTCGTTCCTTCACTTCAACGACTTAATGATGACCGGGCGCTGAAAGCAGGCTCTGATGTCGCTCATTTCCGAGATTTTTTTTTGTCGGATCTACTAGTTCTGAGAAGTCAAACCCAGCGGTTCCCAACGTACATATGACCCTCCAGCATACAATAAATTATTCGCATCCATCCACACCGTATCAGTACGGGGCCGGTCAGCTCCGAGTAATTGCAAGATGCGTGCATGAGGTCAGAGGCAAGCTCCGGCGGAAAATAGGATCGGCCAGAGCTGAACAAAAGCACGAGCCGACAATGGACCGGAACGATTCCGAGAAACAACAATATTTTGCGAGGATCGCCCACATGCAAATCGATTCATTCCTCCCATTTCTCGGTCGGTGATAAAACGCTCCGTTTGCCGCCGTTGAGCCGCTTGCCCATTCACAAGAACCCGCTCTCCAGAGCGCACGTTCGGAGTGTACGAGAACAAGTGGGTGAGACCGATATCGCTCAACCGATGCCGCCGGTGTTTCCGCCAGGGCTGAGGAAATGGAGAATAATTTCCCGTCTAGACTTTCAGGTCCTGAGTCCTGAGCGGAACCGAAAAACACAACGTCGGAAACCTCGACGCTCAAGAGAAGTTCCTCGAGAGAGGGGGACTTCCTCGGGGGAAGAACCCTTGGAGAAGCCGAACCGATCAAGGCTTAATTTTCGCCGGGTCCATTGCAACCGTGCGTCAGGCTGAGGCGTCGGATCGCTCCGGCCATTTGTCATGGGAGAGCTTCACTCGCCGAGTGCGTCGGATTCGGGACGGCCGAGCAAGAATATATCTCAACCCGGATCTGTTCGGACACTCGTCCGGAGTCCGGGTCGTTAACGAGGAGATCTCGACAGCTACGGCTCTCCGGAGGTTTAGTCGCGTCTCGCCTCCGATACGGAGTCTCTCGGGCTGCGGAATAGATACGTTTACAGTGGACAGCTGCGAATATTTCATTCGGTCGGCGCCAAGGCCTCGCTGATATCTCCATTGTGCAGCCTTTCTCAGCTCGGCCATGCTGCCGGATCGTTGCCCTGCCGCTACCCTCCGTCGAATCTTCCCTCCGGATTCTTCTGTTCCTTGGGCTTTTTCTCAATGTTGTCATAACTCGATCTGGGTGGCTAGCTCGGCCCGGCTAGCTCGGAAGGCCGCTTGTTCGACGACTCGATCATGCTCGGTCGGCTTAGAGATATCACCGAAAGCAAGCGTCCAACTACCACCATTCGCGCCAGTCAAAGGCAAATGTGATTTACGCCTCTGCGGGAGCTAAGAATAGTGGTAGATCGTCCGGACCGTAGCGGCGGCGCAACCTCGCTCGGTGGGTAAAATAGGTTTTTGCCCCTCTTCTCTGCTGCCTTGTTCTTGGCCGTGCGGTCCTTTGTCCGAGCCGACTACCCGATCCCGACGTGGAATCATATCACCTTTGCTAGTTCGCGGACTACTCCCGATTGCCGGGCCGGTCGCTTGTGTTTACGCTTGCACCGAAAGCAAAGAATGAGATCAATGGCGGTCGGCGGCTCACGGGAGAATTATCTCACATCGGATAAACAGAGGCGGGTTGGCATCGTTCCCCACGTCGAGGAAAGCCCAGTCTCTGGGAGATATCCGATGAGGAGATCTCTCCCATTGCGATCGGATACGGACCGTGTTCTCCGCTGGTGGAAACCCAGAGCCCCCGCGTTCTTTGAGGAGGTGCCAGAACTCGTGGCCGTTCGATTTCGAGCTGATGTCCGAAACAGATATACATATATCTTCAGAGTGCGATCAACGGCCGACCGGCCTCTTCTCAAACCTCACCGCTCGGACCTCGGACAACGACCGCAGAGATCTCGAGCAAAATGAGTATTTACTCAAATTTTCCATTCCGCGACTCAGTCGGAACGTCGCGAAACGCAAGAAGCTCTATAAGAGCATTGAGCGTCTTTATTTGCTTTGGCTTCCCGGTGGACTTCGACGGTCGGCGGCGAAGTAGAATCCCGCCTCGAGCTGCTACCCGCAAAGTACTAAATCTCGCTGTGGCTTCAAAGTCAGTTCTCAGCAAATCCTTTTTGTCAAGCGAGTTGCAATCTCCTCGCTTCCTTTTCATCTGGCGGCGCGTCTCCGGTTCTCCTCTGCTTTTCCTTTGACCAATGCGGGGAAACCGACGAACTTTTTAATGCTTTCTCTCCTAATACCGGGATAACCCGCTCTTTCCGACCTGCAGTCGTCCTTCCACTCGTAGTCCGACGGCTAGATTGTAGGTGTAGGACTGGAGTTGCGACGCTCGGTCGGCCCTTCCTTCGCTCGGTTTCTTTTTCCGGAGACGTAACTGGAGGACTCTCTACAAGAGTCGACGAGCCTACTAACCAGCAGAGCAGTCATCCTGTCCCTCAGGACCACTTTTCAGGGAGAGGAAGCAAAACGACACGAAAGCGCTTATGGGTTCTGCGCGGAGGTGCCCTGATGCCCCCATGTGCTCTCGTTCATGCGCCGCTCTGAAACACGTGCGTGTCAAGATATTGCGCGCTCAGAATGGCGGTTGAGCGCCTGAGCGGGGAGCTATTCATTCCCGAGCGCGATCGCCAAGAACGACGGCGGCATTTCTAAGTCGGAAGAAAACGAGAAGAGTGATGTCGTTCTAAAATGACACCAATTACGGCGTATGGGAAAATGTGCGGCTTTCTGCTCACGTTCGGGGCTTCCCAGCTTGCTCGCTCGCTCTCTTTTGCGGTTCCTGAGACATTTTTCAGCTATGCGGTTCACGCTGAGAGGGCCCAAGCCGTAAGCATCGTGAGTTCCTCCCCATTCCGCTCCCTGTTCTCGCAATCGGAGTTTTGCGAGGGAAAACATCAAACGACGCGAGATAGGAAGGAAAGGAAAGCAGTTCCCGAAGAGCAGAAGATGCAGAAACGAGGAATGTGGACAATGGAAGAGCCTGTGAGGAGCGCAAGTGGTCGGGATCCCGGAGGGAACGGAGGCTGTAGGCGCAACCGAGCCAGAGCCATCATTTAGATTATTGGCCGGGAGGTTTAAGGACGATGTCTCTCGGCTTTATCCACGAGGTTTGTCGCTTGATTTGTGTGAAATCGATTTCGACGTCAGTCGTCGCTCGTTCGTTCTCCAGATCGGTTGGGCTGGTAAATCCTGCTTTTTGTCAGACTCAGCGAGCGAGGGAGCTAGCCACCCGACTGACTAGCACTGAGAAGCAAGCCGACAAGCGAACGGGATCCTCTTAGCGTGATTCGCTTGCTCGTTGGCTTCCGTTGGGTCTCTCGCTCTGCCCCTATGGCTCACAAGCCCGCGGTGTTATCTCTCTGCGGCAACGAATGCTGTCTACGGATGTTCTTCGGAACCCCTCGGAGAATCGGGCTGAACTTCGCAGTTCCACCGGGCTCAGTCCGTAAGAAAGTCCTCCCATCCCTTTCGCCATGTTCGTAGCCTTTTGCCGTGACTGTAGGCAACGATAACTCGTATTCTGGGCTCCCCTTGATATAAGACGTCCTAAGACGTATCTCCCTCTACCGTCAGATTCGACGCCCATGTTCGGTGGGTAGCCCTCCTGGAACCCGTCGGGGAGTGACAACAAAATCCCGCTCCCGATCGCAATGTATCGTACA